AAACAATTATATGTAACCACCTCTTCTACTCCAACAGATTCTACCCTCGTAATTTCCGACAGTGGAACTCCCTTCCTAGTACTTGCTTCCCTGATAGCTATAACCTTCAAATATTCAAATGTAATGTCAATTGACATCTTTGTTACGGTTTTTCGTGTATATTATATGTAACTAGTGAGCGAGTCAAAGTGACTTAATTCCCTTTATAGTCTACCAATAGAAGATTAACCAACCAGGAGCCGCAGAACACTGGATCCGTCGTGTATAAAGGCGGCCATCTTTGTTTTCCTACCCGGAAGGACCAGAAGCAACTTGTCCGGTGAACATGACAGACGGAAGAACTACGCTCTGCTACTTTGCTGCGATATCCACTGCGAACCTGCACTACGCTTTCCTACTGTCTCCGAAATATTCACTGCCAACCTCTGGATTTTATACTCGAAGACGACCGTTATGAAAATGTCTAACAATCTTCTGATGTCTTGATCCCGATCCCCGTCCTTCAACCATAAGCTTTTCTCAAACACCCCCTCTTTACTGTTCCTTTCGCGCTCTGTAACCCCTTGCGTGCTAATGGAACTCCCGCCTTGCTTGGGGTGAAATGCTTAAAAAATCGTCATTTTTTTTTATATTATTCACAGGAATAATGGAATTATTATAGAGAAAGAAAGAAAGGAAATAAAAGAAGGAAAAGAAAATGAAAAAGGACGAAAGGAGAGTTAAAATAAAAAATGTAGGAAAAAGGAAGCAATGAAGATAGATAAAGAAAAAGCAAATAAAAGAAAAAGATGGAGCTAGGGAAAGAAAAAATGGAGAAAGGAAAAAGGGAAAATAAAGAAAAAAGGAAGAAAGAAATGAATACAGAGAAAGAAAAAGAAATCTTTCGAACAAAATCAGGGATTTGTTAGCGAAATACTCGTCAAACTAGGTAAACAGTGCCAACGGAATGTCTTGATGTTTCGAGAACAAAGAAAGCATACTTTGACATTTTAGCATTACTTTAAATTCTACGATTTTCCTTTTTTTTTTTCTTTTATTCTTTTTTGCTGTTGCAAAAATAATTTTGCGGAAATTAGGCTGACAGTATTCTCTGTGACAAATTACTCCACACACTTTTCTCCCATTCGGATTCTATAACGATAGAACGACGACAAGATATTTAACCAAAAGAAATTCACCGTTGACGTTAAATAAGGTTCAGTCTGAGAAGCTTCCTGACAGAGGGCAACAAATGCGACACTGAGATCCGTAGATGTATTGGGACACATTCCAAGAGCTCTCTTTCCTCATTCAGGGCCCCCAAAATTTCAGTCTTTTTCTAATGTATACATCTCATTATCTTTTCTAGTTTCCTTAAAACTTCCTCGTTGTTCATATGTTCTGTCCGAGATATTCTCAATATCCTTCTGTAGGGCCACATCTTTGTAGCCTCAAGTCTCCTCTTCATCTGTCAGAAAACTGTCCAGCATTCACTGTCAATGAAAAACCCTACCGGAATTTAGCATTGGCGGCTACAATCTTAACAAAAGATACGCAGATGACACAGTGCTGATAGCAGACACGGAAATGAAATTACTAAACCTCCCACAGAAGGTAGTGATGGAGAGTGAGAAGAAAGGACTAAGCATAAACTACAAGAAGACAGAATGCATGGTCATCAGTAAAAGGATGAGTCCGAAATGCGATTTGCTGGTCGGGAACACTAGAATCAAGCAGACGCAGAAGTTTAAATATCTGCGAAGCGTTTTGACAGAGGACGGTAAGTGTGTCACTGAGATCCGTAGACGTATTGGGATGGTCAAAGACACATCTCAAAAGCTGGGCAGAGTACTGCGAGATAGGAGGATTTCTTTGGTAACAAAGAAAAGAATACTGAGCTGTTACGTGACATCTTTCCTTCTTTACGGCAACGAATGTTGGACGATTTCCTCAAAGATGAAGAAGAGACTCGAGGCGACGCAGATGTGGCTCTACAGAAGGATGCTAAGGATATCATGAACCGAACGTGTGAACAATGATGAGGTCTTGCAAACAAGAAGGAAGCTTATATCAGGAAGAGGCAGCTGAAGTTTCTGGGACACATAATGAGGAAGGAGGGCTTGGAGAATCTGATACTCACGGGTCGAAAAGAGAAAGCAGTGTATGACATACCTAGCAGCCTTAAGCAAGTGGATGACAGAACGTGAGCTGGGGGAGGTAGCAGAGGGGAGGAGCTTGTTGAGAGCTGCAAGCGTTTAGATGGGGTTAGTGGAGAGCCATGATCACCTACGTCCTGAAAGGAAACGGCACATAGAAAGAAAGAAAAGAAAGATGACTAGACAGTCGAAATAATATTTGAGATTGACAGATGAAGAAAGGAAAAATAAGACAAAAATAAAGAAGAAGAGGGTGTCGAAGACTGCGATAGAGAAATGAAAGTCTGGGAGAGAGAGAGAAGACAAAAACAAATAATAAAAAGTAAGAGACGATTAAGAACTCGTAAGCCGAAGCAAAAGTCCGTCTCATGAAATTCAAAGACAATTCTTATAATACAGACCGTTCTAATTATCTCCCTTTATGTAACTCTTCACAAGTCGATAGGCACATCTTAAAACAAAATATGTCAGCTAGAAGCAATATTTGTACTGCAAATCAAAACAATATTTAAATGTTTGGATATAGATATATTAAAACAGATATGTGCCATTTTGTTTTACTAGATATATCGCCATTTCTGAGGCAACTTCATGATTTGGCATCTTTAGGAGAGATGAACTGGTACAAGAGTAAAAAAATGTAATAAAAAAAAAGTATAAAATAAAAAAGGAAGGAAAAAGAAAGCAATGAAGATAGATAAAGAAAAGGCAAATAAAAGAAAGAGATGAAGTTAGAGAAAGAAAAAAGAAGAAAGGAAAAAGTCAAAATGAAGAAAGAAGGAAAAAAGAAAGAAATGAAGACAGAGAAAGAAAAAGAAAAGGACAAAAGAAGAGTGAAAATAAAGAAAGAAGCAAAAAAAGAAAGAAATAATGACTGAGAGAGAAAAGCCAAAGGTCGAAGAAAGAAGTGAAAATAAGGAAAGAAAAAGAAAGAAAAAAGAAAGAAAAGAAAACAGAAGAAGAAGCAAAGAAAAAGGGAAGAGCCGAAGAATAATAAAATTTGACAGGGAAAGAAAAAAAGGATAAAAACCAAATCAAAAGTGAAGATAAAATAAAATAGATTACAATGAGGAATTGGATAGAAATGCAAATGAAATAGGCATATAAAAGAAAGAAAAAAAGCGACGAAAAACAAATAAAAATGTCTTGTTAAAGGAAAGGCTTTTCATAAACGAATGAAATTTAGTAGAAAGGATAAACACAAACCTGATTAGAGAAACAATCGATAGAGTTTGAATTGAGCCAATAAAGTAACAGAAAACGCTATCTTAAAGGTCACAACATGGATCTAAGGGGAAAAAACGAAATGAAATGGCCTGGTGATGGAAAAATAGATTTTTAGCTTTAGCTAAGATCAATGTTTCAGTTTTACCCCAAAGATAAAAAAAAAGTAAGATGGCGACTTTATTCTTATCGAAAAGTATTCTATATCTTGTGCTTGGCTTCCAAGTTAGAAGCCGATTTCTATACTTTTCCTTCCCATTTCTTATTCTGTCCTTATATTCTTTAAGAGCCAAGAAAATTAGTCATGTAATTGTTTTTAGTCAACAATAAATTGACGAGATCTCGGCACCAGGTTTTCCAACCATTTCCGTTATAATAATAAATAATATATATATATATATATATATATATATATATATATATATATATATATAACATGGCGTAAATAAACAATCTAATAAATAAATAATGTTTATTATTTTTGTTGTCAATTCTCATGAACAAAGAAAATGTACGAATTCACTTTTATAGGTTTGGGTTTTATTACAATTCTAATCATCAATTTTAAAAACAATAAACATTGTCGAAGGGTGAAGGTAGTTATAACAACGGTGTCATAGGAAAAGTTGTCCTTTTGACGCTACGTCTTATTGGTGGGACGTTGGAGTAATGGATAGCCGAGTTCGAATCCCAGTTTTCCATTGACGTGCTAATATCTATGGGAAAAGTATGAATCACCTTCTCCTTCCAGCTATTGGTAAATAGCAGGGCAGACCGGGTTCTATAACCTTGGATGGCAACTGGTCTACCGCAGAAAGAAATGGCAACCTACTGTAGAGAAAAATCCGCCTTGTCAGTCATGTATCGAAAGATACATGATCGCCTAAGCTTGTATCACGCCTGGCATAAAAACAAAACAGAAGTTCCTGTTTGCCGCTCGCTTTTATTATTATGTCGCGTCAGGAGGTAAGCGATAATGGCCCTCCACAGATTCTTTTTTCTTATCTGTGAATTGTGGTAATATATTTTGAAGGAGAATGTGGTGATGTTCCGTTGTCTTCTATAAACACCAATTTCTGTTTGAATATTATAATTCTATTGAAATAGAAAGAAATTTCGCAGAAACTAAATACAATACTTCTTCTTCTATGTCGTCTGTCCCTTCAGAACGTGTTGGTTACGGCCACATCACGATTACCGAAGTTAAGCAACGCCGAGCATCGTCAGTAACTAGATGAGTGACCGCTTGGGAATCCCAGGCACTGTAGGATTGGATGTGCGGATGGTGTAATGTCTAATATCTGGGAATTGTTAACTGGAGGACAGAGTTCCAATTCAAGTTGGGTTTGTTATATTCACGTACAAATAACCTTGGGAAAGGTATGAATCCACATCTTCTCCCTCCAGCTATGGGTTAATTAGTAAGACTTGTGTCCCTAAACTAATATCCAAAAATAAAATTTTGTACAAAATATTTAAATTTCGGCATTAAATAATCTGTAAATGGTCGATATGCCGTTAAACGAAAACAACCAATATTCAGGACGTTGGCGATCATGGCTTTCCACAATTTCTTATCTTTTTTTAACTCTTAATAAATTTTGTCATTTTCTTATCTCACTCATTCACACAAGGTCCCTAAGTAGGTAATATGTTGCTTTCCTCTATCTCGCTAACCGTCAATATGTCTTGTGAGTATCAAATTTTCCAAGTCGTCTTTCCTCGTGTGCCATTGAATTTTCATGTCACTTCTGATATTAAAAGCAAGTGTCCTTATTGTTTTCATTTTCTTCAAAGTTTCGTCGTTGCTCATATGTTCAGTCCATGGTATTCTCAGCATCCTTCTGTAGAACCACATTTCTGTTGCTTCAAGTCTCTTCTTTATATTCAACGACTTCTAAAATATTTTATTTCAAAGTCAACACAGCATAAAGCAGAGAATTTTTGCAACGAGTAAAATATTATCGATTTGATGTTGAGGAACGAATCAGTTTACCTGATGAAGTCAGCATTTCAGAAAAAATTCGCGACAGTCGTGGCAAGAAATATAAATAGATGAATCGTGAAATGACATTTCCTTGCGTGTTGAGAGAATGTCATAAATGTCAATTACAAGCAGCTGTCCACTCATGCGTGACTAGCTTTAAGCTGACAACGCATTCAGGCAGCCATTCGAATGACCTCATCTCCTCCTGATATTTCATAATGAGATTTCAATGCCAAATAAACACAAACGGACACTGCTTATATTACACATACAAAATACATACTTCTTCTTGTCTTCTTCTTGCGGCCTCAGCCGAGATGGAACTCACCAATGGTGTAGTTCATAATCTTGTCAATAGCTGAATTTTTGATGCTTCGCTAGGGTGTTTTTATCGTGACACCATCACTAAATCGATTGCCAACCAAGGCTCAGAGAGACTCCATTCACCCTCCTCTAAGAGCAGGTTTGAATTCAGAGTTTTCCTTCTCTTAGACCAGTTGCCATCCAAGGCTATAGAACCCAGTCTGTTCTGCTATTTACCCATAGCTGGGGAGAGAAGAAAGAGGATTCACCCTTTCCCACGTAAGTGAATGTAATGGATTCGACTGGAATTCGAACTCTGCTCTCCGATTCCTCAATCCAAGCCGCTATCCATTACTCCACCGTGCCTCCTCTAAAATACATACAACTAAATAAACACACACACACATACACACACACACACACACACATACATATATATATATATATATATATATATATATATATATATATATATATATATATATATATATATATATGAAAAATATAGTCTTAAGATGTGCTATATTTATGGAATAAAGTGCTGAATATCAGAGATAGAGCGTGTGTAAATATAAAAGTGAACATAGAAGTCAACACTTAGAAGCGACAATTTGTTTAAAAAAAAAAACGCACATCACAACAAAAATATGTTGGAAAATAAGGAAAAGATCATCAGCCTAAAACAACCAATCAAAAACTTGCAAACTTTGCTTGGCGGAAAAAATAGCTATCATTACTTTCCCAGACCAAAATAAATTATTAAATAAAAGATCCGAGCTCATCTCAAAATGCAGACATGAAGACAAATTTTACTACGTTACTTAAAAATCGAAAACGGAAAAAATAAAATAAAAATAAATAAATAAACAAAATAACAATAAAATAAGCAAAATTAATTAACCCAAACAAATTACCAAATCACACCTGTTAGAATAGACGAAACAAAATAATAAATAAAAAAAACAGAAAAAAAAACAAACGAACCCAAATAAATAAAGTAAATAATAAACAAATTAGCAAACCATTATGACCAAAATATTAGAATAATCAATAATCAAGCAAAAAAATCGGACGAAAAAAAATAATTATAACTGTTATATAACGATAAAAAAAACTAGTACGTCACTTAAAAATCGAAAACCGAAAAGAGAAAATATACAGTATAACAAATAAATAATAACAAGTAAAATAAATTGACCTAAATTCATTCAAATAAATAAATAAACTAATCCCGATAGACTAACCGTTAGAAAAAACATATAAAAATAATCAATCCAAATAAATACACGAAGTAATAAATAAATTAAAAACTGTTCCCGCCAAAATAATAGTTAGAATAAACTACAACAATCAACCCCAAAATCGAATAAATAGCTTTAATTATCTTCCCAAACCAAAACAAAACTATTAAATAATCGATATAAACAATTTTTTACTACGTTAATAAAAATAAATAAATAAATATATAAGATAAGAAATAAAAATAAATAAATAAATAAAAACAAGCAAAATAACATAACGCAAATAAATAAATAAACAAATAAACGACTTCCGGTAAAATCACCGCCAAAATAGACTACCCACAATGCACCACTGATCCGTATATATATAAATAGCTGAGAAAAATAACAGCACTCGTGGCCTGACGATTGCATCTAGCATGAAACAGCCTCTGAGTGTTCATATATATATATATATATATATATATATATATATATATATATATTATATATATATAATTATTTACTTAAAATATGATTCCAAATCGCTACATAAGAGGTCTCATGTTTCAAAACAAGAGCCGAAAACTTCAATAACCAGTTCCTTCCTATTTTCTATATATTTTCATAT